TTCCGGCGAGCGCGTGTCGTTAATAATGCGATACACGCGAGCGCGCTTGTCCGCTATTAAGATCGCGTTACTCGCTGACAACGGTTTTCGTGATTTTCGGCAATTCGAGTGTGTAATTTTATATCCCACTACAGAGATTGTGTGTGATTGTGATTAATTATGTTGATAATAACGCGTACATAGATACTGATAATTATGATATTTGGAAGGAATATGCAAAATTTGAGATGCTTAGAAGGTTTCTGAATTTCGAGATCGTCTCGTGAATCTACGATTGTATAAAACATCCAAGTGTATCTAAAATGGCTCTCCGACTTCGAAATTTCTGCGTTATCACGTTGCGAAGAGATGGTCGGCGACCTTGATACAGATTCTGTACGCACTTTATGGTGTCGTATTTCTGTCGTATTAGTCAGCGGCTGAATGTCCAAAAGGTATGAAGGTCTGGCGATATCTATTCGTACGCGTAGGTTGCTATGTACACGGTGTCTAAACGAAGCGCGTACCAGAATTTAATTTTTTTAACAACGGATATTTGTCTTGTAGTTAGAGAAACTTTCGACAGCAAATATTTTATACGCGTGTGCACTCGCAGTGTTTGTACAAATATTGTTATCAATACAAATATTTGTACGAAAACCAACAAAATAGAGTTCGTATGCGCAAACAACGCCAGTATAAACATCGTGGAGCAAACGCGATCAATAAATCAATATATACCACAACACAAGTAAAAATGGAGTATTTTATAAATGTTTTGTTACTAATTTATTACTTTAATCCCGTTGCAATAAAATAAACCGCTTGAATTATTAATATATTGAAAATTATTTAAAAAAGGGAGCAGAATTATAATTCCGCGAGTGAATGTTTCGCTCAAATTTCTTGGCAAAAGAGAATCTTCTAAATTATGCGAAAAGTGATCATCTGTTGGCGAGATTATGTTCGTGTTTCGGAACACCCAGTATCGAGTCGCGGCCTCACTACATTTCTGCCGACAACCCGTTTTCTGCGCGCGTTCGGGGATTAAGCGACCCGGCCTTGCCTGCCGACCGATGCCGTAAATTATTATTTCTACGATAAAGGCTGTCGAGCAGCGCTGCTGAGTGGAATTCCCCCGGCTGCGTCGTAATTAATGCATCTGACGATAACCGCGGCGCAAATCTAATCGGCGCAGATTCGCCCGATTGTGGCCGCGATGCACGATATGAATGTGCAGTCGTAGTTTGAGAAATTCACCGGCGATACGCGTAAGAACTTTAAATAGCGCAATATTGATACTTTTGATATACACAAATACCTTAATCTGCGCCATTATTCACGCAAGAGATTTAAAGAATACTCCGCGATTTGAAACTCGATAGATTAACGAAGAAAATATTTTCACCAATCAAAACGTTGATCCTTCTAATTTAATATAAAAGTATTTAACTTTTCGATTCTCAAAGATGCGTAAAGTGTAGAAGAAAATTGCGCTAGCAACAACGGGATAATATCTATTTTTGTTCGACATTATGCATTATGTAAATGTCGCCTAAGCCGCGATCGAATTCAAATCAGTGCGTGAGAAATTACCATCTCGGTAACACACGTGTTTTTTTTTTTTCGTCCGAGCAAGAATGAGAAAGTCGTTCGACGATAAACTCCGGTCGCTAATTATCATGCCGTGACCGCAAGTGTCACAACATCGAGCGGCAAACAGAGGGGGGGGGGGAGGAAAAGACGACGCCAATCCGCACGCATGAGAAAAATCCCTCTTCGCGGCGCACGGGCGCCTTTCCATTGACGAAAACACGTCTCTCTCTCTCTCTCCCGGAAGGAAACGGCAGAAACGAGAGCGCGTCTCCCGTGGCGGGCAGAGCCCGAAGGGAAAGGAGGAGGCGAGGGACGACGGAGGAGGAGGAGAGAAAAGACGACGCGCGGAGTCCACGTGTGTCCGAGTGTGCGAACGCGCGGCGAGCGGTCCGCCGCGCTCACGCAAGCTTCATAAAGGATTTCCGCCGCTTGTTTCCTTTCTCTCCTCTCCTCTCTCTAGGAAGAGGGCCCGACCGTAGCGCGCTTAGAAATGCGCGCTCTCTCGCATTGTATAATAATGTATCGCATATGGCGTATCTTGTAAAACTCTGCGGGCGTCCTCCCTCCTCGTCCTCCGCTTTCGCCTCGCCCCGCGGACGAAGACCTGAATGAGATCGTTCCCGGGGGCTCGGCTTCATTCATCCGACGCGACGGGCCTCGGAGGTGACGAAAGGTCCCGAAAACCGCCTCTAGGTCATGCGTTCGGCGGGGGGGCGAAGTCTGCGGATTTCGGTCGACGGCTCCGTGCCGGATCGCCGGCAACGTTTACCTGCGATGGTTAGCCGGTCGGTCGGCCGCCTCGCACACAAGGATGCGGGGTGAGATGTTTCGGCGTGGAGTAAATAGGGGGGGGGGAATGTTTTATGGGATTGAGGGGTAACACACGGCTGGGTGGTGAGAGCTTTAGTCCGCGTTATGCGTCATATCACAATGTCTCATGCTGTTTCACGCTATTATACACGTCGCATTTTCATGCCTATAATAACTTCGATGTGAATTATTTTTCCTCCGGAAAACACCGATCTCACTCGCTGAGAATTCCCGATGGAAAGGTTTCGATTGACAGCTTTGTAAATAATAGATGTGTAAAAATTGCAGACGTTATTAATGCTTGTAAACTTACACGTGTCAGGAACTTTATTCTCATATTTTTTAGATTGTGGTTAAATTTCTTTCGAATCTCGTAGGAAAATATGCGCTATTTTTGAGAAAATAATAAAAGTTTCTCAAATTTACTTTAGAAATATGCACTATATTTTATGCGAAATTTTATATTATTCTTATTGTACAAGTAGCTCAACTTTTTCTTTCGATTAAGAAATATTAATAATTTTAATGGTTTTAATACGTAGTTTCTTGAAAATATTTCAAACGAGCGCTTTTAAAACTTCTTTTGCAAGCTTAAACGAAGTCTGCTGTTTTCACACTATTGTTCACCTTCAATTTTCTTTGATCGGTGCGATATCTTTCGAACGGCATCTCGCTCGATTAGCCAACAGGGCATGACAGATCCGATTAGACGAAAATATGCGGTACCCACACGGCAGGAGACAGCCTTGCTTGTGGTCATCGCTCCATTGAGACTAGGATAGTCAACAGGATCAGAGACGACGACAATGTGTCTCGAGTCAAGAGACCCTTGAAAGAGTGAGAGACTAGGCGCGCTTAATCCCACAGATTAGGTTTCGGTCTTACAAACAGCCCTTCAAATTTACAATTCCCTTTCGCTCCTGAGAGCACCACCGAAAAAGGATATCCTCCTTTTGTCAAGAGAGAATACCGCTGTTTCCTAGATTCCATTTTTCGTAAGCGATCTTTATTCTTGTACTTTTTGTTCCTTTTTTCCGAATTTTTGTAAATTGTGAAATTTATTTTTAATTACTACTTGTTAATGGATTATTGTTTATGATTATTCATCCACGTCGCACATTCGATTGATGTAATCTTTATAATTCTTTATTTACATCGAATGCAATTGTTCTGTTTCGGAACGCGTATTTGTTCCGCATCTCTTCGTTTTCCAATCGCGCAGATTCCATCACGGATGCCATTCCGTGCATTCACATCCTTCCTTTGTTTCCATTATTTCATCCTCGTCGATATCTCCGATCTGTGGAAACTTGCGACATCGCGAGCGTATTTCGTACCGAGTCCTTCGTTCGTCCGTGGAGTCTCTCGAGCTAAGAACCTGAAGATTCGCATCGAGGACGCGAGAACACACGAATGTTTCAATTTCCAGATTGCAGAATCTGTTGACTTGGAGTGAAATAAGTTCGATCCAAAGTATCGAGAATATGGAAATAAAAATGTGGAAGAAATAAACGTCCGCAACGCTCCGACGATTCCAAATATTCCGTGAAGTGGAAATTTAAGAACCGGAGAAGGCTCGAAAGGCCGTATCCCTTTATGGGAAGCGAGCGAAGTATCGCGCGTTCCTTCCACCGAAATATCCATTTCCGATCCCCCGGCTTCGTCGAGACGTCGTAAAGGACCGCGCGCGCGCGCGCGGACCGGCTCCTCGGGATCGGCGTTATAAGATCGGCCACGTCTTTATCTAGGTTCTTTAGTATGGGCGCGCGGGGCAGTAATATATTTGGAAGGCGCGGAGCGAGATAAGTGGTCGGGTAGGTAGCCGCGGTGCGGTTGTCGGCCAGATAGTCGACCGGCTCCGGTAATGGAGACTGCAGGGTGCCGCTAATGCAGTAGCGATGTCACGGCGTCCGGTGCATCGGTATATTCCTTCCTCTCTTTTCGCCCTTTGGCCTCCCCTCCCCCCTTCCCCCTCTTCGTACTCTCACCGGCCTTCGCGATATCAGTCGACGTGTATGTCCTTTCTTTTTTGTTTTGTTTTGTCTCTTTTTCTTACTTCTCTAGTAGTTCCCGATGTGATCTCTCTCTTTAACGGAAACTGCACTGAGAACGTTGATATCGCGGGATATCGCGATGCGTCGAACGTGCGGAGTAACGCGACGCAGCGTCGCGATGAGGTTTATCTTCGTGCAGATATTATGCTTCTTTTCGTTTGCCGATTGAACACGAGAGATTTCTCGAAGCGAGTGCTCTCTGTGATTTCGATAATAATATGTGGATAATTTTTTTAAATCTACATCACTTTGAAAATTAAACACTGTTTATATTGAATCTTTTTAGCGGAGAAAAACTCCTATATGCAAGGAATCAAATTTTTCAGGAAAGATAAAAGTCGAAGAATAAATTTTGTACTTTTTCAACAAGCGGAAGATTAAATGTTGCCTTGCCAGAAAGACGACTGTCTTGATTTGCAGAATGCGCTTAGCTTTATTCGGTCCGACCGAAGCCTCAATTCTCTCGCCAAACTCAAATAGGACGTTTTTCTCCGTCAATGACGATATACTCAGTGTACATTGCAGCGCAAAATATTGATCTCCTCCGCTCTCTGTTCGCAGAATGTTCGGCAGCATGAAGCGGTGCGCGCGCTGCCAAGCGGCGATCCTGGCGTCCGAGCTGGTGATGCGGGCGCGCGAGCTCGTCTTCCACGTGCGCTGCTTCTCGTGCGCGGCGTGCGCGGTGCCCTTGACGAAGGGCGATCACTTCGGCATGCGGGACGGCGCCGTGCTCTGTCGGCTGCACTACGAGATGGGCGCCGAGCTGCACCCGGCCCAGAGCCCGCCAGTGCCGGTCTACCCGCCCGGGCCGCACTACCCCGGTCAGCCCTTTCCCTCCCCCGAGTTCCTCCATCATCATCATCATCATCACCATCACGCGCCACCGCATCCGCATCACTCGATGCACCCGCAACATCCGCACAGTCACGTCAGTCCGGTGCCGCTGCAGCCCTCCACTCCTTCCGTGCCCGACGCCTCCTCGCCCCCCAAGGTGCCCTACTTCAACGGCGCCGCCGCTGTAGTGCCGCCGCCCAGGCAAAAGGGCAGACCGAGGAAAAGGAAGCCCAAGGATCTGGAAGCCATGACCGCGAGTCTTGGTGAGTGCGTGTTTTATTCCAGTTTTTTTTACGCGAAAACGCTCTAGGCTCGATAAGAATGGGAGCTTGTATAAAAAAAAAGATAGGAAAATTGTGCCGAAACCGAGGTTTAAAAGTTTTAATAATGCGCTTTTCAAAATCTCCGAATCTCAAGGATTTTTCTAACTCTCAATATTTCGGAGTCCGAGAATCCACGTAAAGTCCAAGTCCTCGGTTCTCTCGCCCGCCGTGTGATTTACAGGTGCGCGTGGGCGCTCGCGACGCTTGCCACCGAAGCCTGATAAAATTTGTCGGCGCGATATAAATTCCCGAATCGCGATTCCGAACAAAGCGTGTAGCGCGTCGCGTGGGCGAGCGACGCCGGCAGTCCCGAGAACTTAATTTCCGATTGTTGACCGATCGTGAGAACAACTGGTTTCCCCGGCTGGTTTGCGGGCGAGGCAACGTCGCGATGCTTCCACTCCGCCACCTCGACTCTCTGCTCCTTTTTCCTCCCCCCCGCGCGGGAGGAGGTCGCTCGGTGTCGCCGTGTCGCCGTGAAAAAGGATCGTGGCCGGCGCGCAGGTGATCCGGGCACCGCAGGCTGCTCTCTCTGATCTATCGCGGATCATGCCGGCAATTTTTTACGACCGTTGCTAAGGGCCGCGACGAACCGCGCTCTCGAGGCGAGATAAATGGCCGCGTGTTTAGTAATTGCGCTTGAGTTATGGTTGTAGTTCGAAGCGAGCGGTCTTGTGCGCCAACAAATGTACAGATTGCTCGTATTAATTGTTCAATAAGCAAAGCGCTCGAGCGTTGTCCTGAATAGCAAATAATCTTGCGTCAGTCGTGTGGAACGCATTCTCAATTTTGCTTGCAGTTTGCTAAAACGTGTAGATTGTCGTACGTAAAATTAGCATATTGTTATAAGACGATTATGAATAAGATACAAGATTGAGCGAATAATTTTATAGAAATTTTAGAATCTCAAGCGGAGTTTATTGTACAAAGTCAAATTGTCATCCGATCGATCGCGTTCCCTCAGTGCTTGCCGATGCAAATTCGTGATTCTCTCGCAAAGGCAAGTTGATCGCGAACTCAAATAGAGTTATCAGACTCAGTTTCGAGCAGAACGAGCGTGCTGCGGTGACGCGACGTACCGACGGAAGCGAAGTCCTAACGCTGTTTGATGCGTATCACATCTCATTAGCTCCTCGAGCGCAAAGAGGCAGGCGGGGTTAGAGGGGGGAGAGAATGCCGTATGCGAAGGCCGGTGGATACACGGCCAATTACAACTCTATGCGGCAAATAGTTTGCAGACACGATACCTCATTCCAGCGCAGCTGATCTATTGTGCTCGCCCGTCCGCGCGCGGATGATACTGCCGATGTCGCGCACGCATGCAGAGAGAAGCGAAGAAAAGATTCGAATTGATCGAATGAGATAAGAGGCGAATCAATTCACACTCGGCTTCCTCAATCTTTTTTCTTAATCTTACTTCGATATTTGTATTGATTTTTAAAATCCGGCTTCAAAATGATGCTTCCCGACAAACTTTTAACGAGAAATTAAATTGCTCAAGTCCTCGAGACATCATCGAGGTGCAATTTCGTAACGGCGCTGTTCGAATTTGTGTTGCAGACTTAAACGCGGACTACATAGACATGCCCTTCGGTAGAGGAGGTCCTGGCACTCCCGGCATGCCCGGTTCCAATAGCCGAACGAAGCGGATGCGAACGAGTTTCAAGCATCACCAGTTAAGGACGATGAAGAGCTACTTCGCGATCAACCACAATCCAGACGCGAAGGATCTCAAGCAGCTTTCCCAGAAAACTGGCTTGCCGAAGAGGGTATTGCAGGTAAGCGGACCGTTCGATTCGCAATTGTCCCTCCTTCCTTTATGGCTTGATTGTGATGTCGAAACTCAGACTTTCTCGGCCATTTCGATTTTATTAGCTCTTAGTGCGCGTTTAGCTTCAAAACCGGCTATTCACCGATGCGATTGTAATTGACTTTGGTTGATTCTGCTTGCTCGTGTTTCTTTTTGCGAGAAACATTGTGGATTCTACTGTTGTCAGTATTAATTAAATAACATCATCAATATGTAATTTACGAGAAATCTTGACAAGAAATTTCGTCATTTTTATTTAACAATTTTTGTCACATCTTTTATCGCGTTGTTAAAACACTGAACATTTGTGGACTCATTTCGCATTGTAATCCGCGCTACTTCAAATCTTCGAATCTCGATATAATTTACTGGAATGTCAACTAGATGAAATTTACAAATGTTTATAAATCACCGTAAACAACGAAGAACGATCGCGGTGGCCGGAGCGCAAACGCGAGCTGCAAAAAGAGAGCTCAAAGATGGATAGCCGGTGGTTTCTCGCCGGGCCTTCGTTTTTCTCTCTTTTCGGCAGGGGTGCGCCCTATAAAAATATTCACGCGCGCGCGCGCGCGCGTAGACACGCGCTGCTCTCCCAATTAGTGCGGCGCGTACGGCGTGGCTGCGAAGTTAAAAGAACCGCGCGGAACGGAGCGATATTTCCGTCGACGAGCTACGGCCTTTCTCCGTAATTACGAGCCGGCGTCAATCCGGAGACAGTCAAAACCCCGACGGCTAAGCCTCGTCGTAATGTCGGACCCGCGCCAGCTTGCTCTCGTTAACCCACTACCGTTAAATTATTAGGTTGTTACGAAAGTTTCGCACGTTCCTTTGTGGAGCGCGCCCTCGGCGCAGGGGTGGAAGAGAAGAGCGATGGAGATATTGATGATTTAAAGATGTAGGAAGCGAGACGAGATAGAAGTTTTTAGATCTCGCAACTTCAAGCTAGCCAAAATACTCGTCGTTAAAAAATAATACGCGAAAAGCGAGGAACACTGAAGCTTCATGAAATAAACTAATAAATTTCTTCTCAATAATTATATGAATCTCATTTTTAAATAAAATAACCAACTTTTTGCAAACTGAAATAAATTTCTTGTCTTACAATAAAATAAAAACTATTATATTATTTTTAAAAAGGCTGAAGAACTTATTAAAATCCTTCATTTCTAAAGCAAAAGACAGTTTTAGGAAGAATTTAATATTGAAAAAAGCGTTGCTCAAAAATCATTGCTTCCTCTTTCCAAATCTTTCGCACAACAGTCATTCCGTCACATTATTTCTGCTTCTGTATTCATTCGACGAAGGAGAGGGTTGGAGGTGGCCACTATTGTATTTGTAGGGTTCTTGGTCGCCATCTTGCCTGATATTGATCGCGAAATGCACGAATACTTGCTCGCCGCGCGCGCGCTTATACGCTCGAAGGGGAAACACACGAGTTGTCGGTTCGTGAGTTTCTGCGTCGAAAGTCCGCGGGGGAGGAGACTGTCTTGAAAATGGCGACGTGGATTGTGCTGTCTTTCGTCTATCGCGAATATGGAAGAAGTCCCCGTATGAATGCACCTACGCGCGCCGGTGTGTGTACATGTGTATGTGAATAGGAGGAGGAACTCTTATCTAATGCCTGGCGTTCGCGATGGCAGATACATAAAACAGTGTCCATGAATTCTTTCTGACTCAGCATAAGTGACACAATCTCTGCGAGTGTTAGCAATATTATTATTATTATAAATATTACTAGAAACGTTTTATTATATAATATATTAAAACATATATTAGCTTGCGATATTGCAACTCTTGGCATAAATCCGCTTCTTTGATATATTTTAAGAATGAAATGAGAGATCGTTTTTAAATTTCAGGATTAGATTTTCAGCTAATATCGCATTGCCAATTTACATTTCAATTAATTACATTTGATGACTCGCGCGTAATCAACTTTCCGCTTGCTTTGTCCGCAGGTCTGGTTTCAGAACGCGCGAGCAAAATGGCGACGCATGGTGCTGAAGCAAGAGGGCAAGTCTGATAAGTGCGACGGCGGGGTGGACGGCGGTAGCCTCGGCGATCTTGAGCTTTACGGGAACAGCACAGGCAGCGGCGGGCCGCCGATGAGTCCGCCCTTCATGCTCGGCGGTCCCCACAGTCCCGCATCCCTGGCGTCCCTGGACTGCGCGTGATCCCCGAGGACCAGGTTTGTTCTTTCTGACTAGCGTCACTCGCGTCCTGCGTCCCGCGACAGGACGTTCGCACTTCCGGGCGGATGTTTCGCGCGCGAGTGAAAACCGCCGGCGAGTGATCGCGCCGCGAAGACGATCGATTGTGAATAATCGGTGAGAGCGTGCGAAAAGAAAAGAGAGAAAGGTAATAATTTTGCACGGAACTTTGGACGATTGGCAGCGACTGTGTTTTCGTTCAGCGGCAAATCGACGAACTTTAAGAATTCTTCTGAGTGATTTCCTTGCCATCCTGAAATTGGGGAGCTCGCTTTGAAAGGGCACCTCAAGATGATGCAAAATGGAACATCGTAAACGCGCGATGACGCGCGTATCCGTTTAATCGATAGAATCGTTGTATTTATTGTAGCGCGAATTTGCGGCGCTTTGCGTCGTAGAATATTAAAGTCGTTGAAGGCAATGTAATTAGTAATCGAGATCTATTTATTCGTCTAAGCCTAATTAAGGATCGCGAACATTACCAGTGCTATGTGAAAATTCAGCGTTTCGAGACGGTCGTCTTCGAATCGACGGTCATCGATTGCCGGCATAAACGAGACGCTTGATTTTTTTAGGAATTTATTTAACAATCAAGCGTACATTTTTTTTAGAAATGTTCCAATTTCTCAGTCGCGCAGAATTCATTTTGATTAACCAACAAATAACAATGACATTTTTCTAGTTATGCCGCGTTTTTGTGTTTTCTAAATAAAAAAAAATATATATTTGTGAAAGCAAATTGAAATTTTAATTAATAATTAAAAATGTTTTCGAATAAAAAAAAGATAGAATAGTGACTCGAGAGAATTGTGCGATCGACAACTCCGCCGAACGCGCTGACGAAACGCCGAATTTTGACGAGGATAATATTAATTATTTATAAAAACGAGCCGCGAGCGTGCGTGTTGTCATAATTGTACATTGCTCAAGATCAGATCGAGACAAATCCAGACCCAACTCCCACGGTTCGACTCTGTTATATTGTAAATAAAGGACGTTCCTCGTACACTTCTTAAGGCACCGTTATAGGTTGTAGGGCCCTATTAATTGCATTCGGTTAGCGGTCGCGCTTCTCTAGACGAGAGGTAATAATAGTAACGACGATACACAGAACTACTGTTATTATTGCTCTTACAATTAGTCCTCCTTGTAACGATGCGACAGGATTGTCCGACTTTTGCAAGATCATTTTTTCATTGAATATATTTTGACAATATACACGTTGCTCTCTTTATTTTTCCCAGCGTCTCTCCCCTCCTGTCCTTCACATCCCGAGTGTTCCTTAAAAGGGTAGGTGGATTTTATTAACATAACTTTAACAATTTTATTTCACGACTTTCTAAAGTCTTTCGTATAGAATTCAATTCGGAAATAACGTATAAATTTCTTTACGCGAAATATTGAATAACGCCAATTAAAGAATAATTCTGTAATGCAAGTATGACTTTTTTTTTATGAGAAACACCTGTGCTCAATGTGTTTTTCTGCAGAATATAAACCAGATCGACGATCGCATATTACTTTATTTAGTTTACAGAACTCGAGATCGAGGCTCTCCGCGAAGGAGAGCCGCGATGGAAAGTCGCGTGATGTGTGGCGTGCAGACACCAAGATGGTGAACCAGAATTTCACCCGACAAAAACCGGTGCCGCATTGTCCGTTCTGTTTTGCCAGTTGGCTAATTGGATTCACTGACCAACATTAATGACGAAGTGTACCATCATGTTTCATTTATACGCGTGCAAGAGATTACACGAAATTTGATTCGTTTCAAAGTAGCGTTCTATTTCCAAAAATAAATACTTGTTGCAAAATTGTAGTGTTGTGATACTAAACTCTGCCACAGAGTGACGATTAAAATTGGAAAAAGCAATCAGTTCTGTTCCTTCGGATTTCTCATCTCTCATTTTGTTTTCGAGTCTCTGTTCAGCTAAACACGCGGCATTTGCAGATTCCTGTCGGACGCTGCAGCGACGATAATTTAATGACCCGATTATGCAAAGCTATGAAAATGCAATGCGTCTGTCGCTGTTATTAAAATTGAACATCCAACATCCGAGCCAGAATTATGCAATACTATCTACCAGCGCCATGTGAATCGCGTATGTCAAAATAGAGAAGCGAACTTCTTGTATATACAATTTGCGATACATAATCTAGTTTGATAAAATTTATTTGAAATAATAAAGTAAAAAATCTGATAATTTAAAACAAGAAATATGTCAGCTATATCGTTTATTTATTGAGATTTTGTTTGCTCTTCAAGTGGCACTGCTTCCTGTCAATTCGACGAGTTTTAAAAAGTCTACGTAAACGTAGTTTCGCGCATGTCACCGCCGTTCTGATTTCTAAAAGAATTCTACGTTCACACACAAGATTGCGACGCGAGCAACATGCGGCTTTCCTTCGGCCATGCAATATGTATCGAGTCGCATTCAGGACGCATAGCGAGCGCGCCGATGTGATTTCAACTCGCGATTATTCGTTGAATTTCTAACCCAAAAAAGGATGACGACAGATAAAAGGAACGGCGGTATGGCGTCATCCATCGACATAGAAAGACCGGCGTACCTTTCAGTGAGCACAAATCTTGTTACTTCAAAAAATAAATCGCTGTTGCCTTTCCACGCTATTTTTCTTGTTTTACGTTCAATTATTTTAAAAAATTTATATTTGCAGATTTCTTAAAATAATAATTTTTACATTAATATTTTCTCAGTAAATTACTCGATTTTATTTCGATCCATTAACCATTCGAACAAAATTTAATATTCTTTTTTATATATAAATGTATTTATATAGCTTTTCTACAGCTGTTTTCTATAAACAGCCGTCGCAGACGTTCTCCACGAGTCTCTTCCCGACGCGACTGCAGCTCTGTCGCGCGTGGAATCTACGAGGACACGATCGGTGCCACGAAGAGTCGCCCGTTGCATTCGACGAGGTAAATGAGACGTCGCCGATGTTCGACACTGTCACACTGTCATCGATGATTTTCTGTCCGCGTGGTCCGGCATCGATCATCCACGTTATCGGTATCTCGATCCTCGGAACCGGTCAGTGGACAGTGGATAAACGAGCCCCGGCATCAATCGCGGGGATCGGAGGATCCTACGGTCACCTCCGTCACGCCTCATCGGCTTCGAAAATGAACGATCTTTGAATGTGACTGGAACACGCGCGAGTTTGTCCCTTATTGATTTGATAGGATCGAAGATAGTTCTCTATTTCGGTGCCCCTTCTCAGGCATCCGGACTCGTGAAATTGATATTTGGATAAATATCAGATTTAGCTGTAGACAGCTCGTCAAAATCGATATTATCGATGCGATTCCGTCATTTGTTTTTAAACTGAAACTATGGGAAACCATAAAATCTCTACAAGTATCGCGAGATCTTCAACTTGTAAATTCTTCGGCTAATTCAAAATCTAAAGTATTTTATGGTTTATTTATTTCCTCAAAATTGAAAAATATCTGAATATCGATAATTAATTTTGAGGGGGATTTAAAAAAATAATATATTAATAATTCCATAAACATTAAAAATTTATTTTTGCTCACAACAATATAGAAAATGTTGTGTAATCTACAAATTTAATCAGATCTAAGTAATGTAACAATAAATATTCATTGATAATAAAAATGATCTAAATTATCAATAAAATTGTCATTTTATTTCAGATTTCTCAAGTGCTGCCTGTCTTAAAAAGTTATTATATCTTGTTAGTTGTCATTGATAATTTATTTAAAGTGTTTGCTAGTAAACAATTGCATATGTCTCGTTATAACCGACACATTATTAAAATTGAATTCAGTGTTTCTGAATTTAAAAGTGGAAATTATATAAAAGCTTATATTACAGGTTTATAAAAAAAGTAGAAAATATTAAACTAGTTAATTCGGCATATCAAAGAATCTGTCTAGACGGACGATGATAAAAAATACGCAAACAATCATGAATTAATTAAGACTTTATTCCGCATGAGTAATTCCGATTGCTGATGCCGGCGAAGCGTCGGCATAAAACGCGTGTTTAGTTAATTAATGGCCACGGATACGATGGGAATTATGCAAGCTGTGAAGATAGCAATGAATCGATGATAACAGAATGATGCAGTTTTATTGCGACTTGCTGCATTGATTGTGTTAATTCGACATCAGCTATGAAATTTTCAAACGCAATTTTTTGCCGTAAATTATATATCTAACGGTTTATTCATACTTTATACATTTTTTAGAATATTTTATAAGATTAAACAATAAAACATCGATTTTCTGTCATAAGCATTGCGTTAGATGGAAGCTGGAATTTAATGGCATCTTCAGCTGATTTTCTAAGTAGACGCACAATCGTTAGCAACGATCGCGAGAAATTCGAATAAATATAATATAAAAAACATATCAATAACGCATTGACTATTACTAGTGCCTTGTCCGATTTGTTTCAAGCGTCAAAGTTTTCGTTTTCCCATTTCTATCTTTGCCCATTTTAATATCTTTATCGCGATTTTGCAGATCGCTTTTTGTATAGCCGAGAAAGTGTAAAGGGAATTAATTACTCCCGCTGCGTGACATTATTTCCTGGTGCTAGTCGCTCATTAAACTCCGCTTCCTGATTTTTTAATGCCTCGCTCTTGCGCCACGCGCGGATGCACCTCTCGCGGCTTCACTTTCAGTCGTCGGCTCGTCTCGAGCGCGGCTCGGTCTGGTTTCTCCGAGGCCTTCCCCGAGAGCAACCCGTGCGCGAAACGCTCGCACAACCCTTTCGATAACCCCCTTTTCTTTTCACGCTGCCATGCTCGAATACCACTTCACAAGAGACCCTAGGAAACCGGCGCGATGCGTCTGTGCGCGGGCGAGTTCTTCGGAAAGGAGACTCCTCGACAGGTAGTGCGCAGGAAACGCGTCTCTCCGTCAAGAATTACTGGCGTAACCACCGAGGTGAAAGATGCGATTGCCTCCCGCTGGACCTAACGGTACGTTGAAAATCTTATTTCATTTTTCCATGGCGCTTTTCTAATAGACGAAGATTAAAATTTTACCTTTAACTCTTAAAATATTCGATTATTGAATTTAAAATCAATGTCTTATTAGAGAAATAATCAATTAATATAATTAATCAATAATCAATATATCATCAACGTTTTAGACATTCAGACGGCTATATTCTACGTGGACTGCTTAAGAAAATACTTGTATTTATTAGAAACAAATAAAAATTAAAGTAAAAAGAATTTTACTTATAAAAATATGTAAAAAGTGACGATTTAACTATAAATTCTTGTGACTCATAAACATAAAATAAAATTCATCAAATTGTCATTGTTTATTAAATAAACTATTGACACGCACACAGATGCACACACTATGAATGCTGCATTGAATCTATTCGAAACGTTCTAGATCTTTGTGCATGCCATCTTCTCTCAGCGATTCATTTCTCCTTCTCCCTCTCTCGTCCGCCGGAGAAAGAGAACGCTCCTACTGCACGCGTTTGTGGGATATTTGCGGGTTCCGTTTTTCTCTGCCACCCACTGGGTGCTGTTGACGTCACGCCCGGATACCATTCGACAAGGGGCGCCGCTCTTCTGGGCCAATAATTCAGACTTCAAGGCGCGGCCGCGTAGATCGCCGTGACGGAGTATCAAAAGCCACGTGCTCAGCCCCCCCCCCGTCCGTCCCTTCACCCCGCGCCCCTCAGTCGGTCAAAGCGGAGCACAGCGAAGCGAAAGAGAGTCGGGCGAGTGTGTGCGAGGAACACGGGGGAAAGAGAGAGGAACGACATGCTATTTATTCATACCCTGCAGCTCAGCACGTAGTCCTCTAAATACGTTGGGTAAACCTGAATAGGGTGTATCCATAAAGGCTCTATGTCAATAGCGAGAAAGATCTCGAAGATCTAAAATTATCGGAACCGAAAATTCTACGAATCTATATGCGATTCGGCGAATCTCGGATTTTCTGCACTTGGATTGCTCGGGATTGCGCAACTTATTCATTCAAGTGGAGAGAAATTTTTGGAAAACGAAATTGAGGTTTAAAAATCTGAATGTTAAAATTCTAGTTTCGAAAGATTCGAACTTTCAAGCTTTTAGTTTTCAAATCGCAAGCTTTCAAATCGTTAATATATTGCTCATTAGTTCGAAGAAATTCATATGTTTATTTCACATTTCATCGTATACTTTATCTCAGAGATTCGATTTTAGCAAATATTACTGTTGAGAGAGAA